TTGTACCCAAACTATACGTGGCATCCATACATTTTATTTACTCAATTCTCCAGCACTAATGAGCCATTTCGGTTGTTTTCCCAAGAGCTCCCCCCTTTTTTTCTTGTTGTCTCAAGATAAAGTTTGTTTTCTCATGATAACCAGATAATTTGACAATCTAGTAACCAAAACACTATCCTGGTCACTGTGACATGCCAACCTGCTTGTGCCCAAACTCATGACGTTAGGCCTATTCCTATGTTTGTTCGTTTGTAGCTGTACGTACTTGCCAGATATTTGGTCTGTGTTGAAGATTGTAATCTAACTCAAGGCAGGACAGCACACATGCAGAATTCCTAAATTGTTGATCTAGCTCTTTGGATATGTAGGGCTGAGGCAACCAAATATATATGCCTTGATGAGAAATAGCATTTACGGCTAAATATACAAGAAATCAATCATAGCTGTTTGGCTTCTTTCTCCGCTGTCTAAATCCTGATATCCTTTCTGGAATACCATTTTGACAGGTTAGCGAACAAATGGCCTACACCTGACCCTCTAAGGACCTCTGACCTCCACCATGTGAGGAAGCACTGACCCTTTCTGTTTCCTCCATGTTACGACTCAGATTTAAATTCCTCACCGCCGCCCTAACCCTAACAAAGAGGAGAGACACATGTTAGACTTACACAAGTGAAGGTTTTATTGATGCAGATCTTTTACCGTACACTTCCAGGCTCATGTGCAGGAATCCAGCTGAGGTTTGGGGACCACTTGGGTCAGATTTATTCTTGGCATGGAGGTAAAGGGGGAAACCCTCTGGGGCCGTTTTAGTCACAATGTTTCCCAAAAGCCAAGATCTTATAGCAGGACCAGATGTTTCAGTTTGTACAGACTCAAACTTTAGATTCAGGATTGCGGTTCACTAAAATTATCATATTCAAAATATACACAGTGATCACTTCAAGGTCGTTGGCCCTTCAGAGAAACTTGAGACAACTTTAAAATTGCTCTGTGCACAGAAGAGAGAGAGAGAGAGATACATAGTGGTATGCTAATTGAAAATCAAGGGGCCTGAGAGCAGGAATTCACGTAATTATAGTACCTCGGTGAACTTTGCTTCTTGATAATCAGTCCAACCGGCAGACTAAACATTTGGAAGAAAGAGCCCTCACATTGTAAATGTGGTTCAGGTCTGTGGGTCGACTCCCATTGTCCACGCTCTGATAAAACAAACTGTGTGCCGATGTTTTTATCTGGAGGAAGTTTACTGTATCAAACAATGGGAGCATTTCTGCAAACATCCATGCAACGCACACAGCGCTAAGAATGTATTGTGTGTTTAGTACATGATTTATGCACCAGAAGTAGTCACAGATTGTCATCACAAAGCACCGTTTTTCTAAACAAAGGAATCTGAAAAACAAGAAACGTTTTTCATCATCGCTGATATCTCTGGTTCTCACATTTTCAAGGTTTCAGGCGCAGGTTTTGAGATTGTAACCTTTATTCAGTCTGACTGAGGACACTTTCACTCCCATTGCTCTTTCCCTTCATTCATTTTAGCTACAAACTGTCTTCCATCCAACACTTCCATATAATGCGAAAGAAATAATGAGAGAAATACAGAAATTATGAAATTAACAATAATAATACAATAACAACAGAGAAGCAATAAATAACATATATATATATAAAAAAGCTATAAAACAAAGGCAGCTTGATCAGACAACCAACCAGTTGTACGCTAGTCATGGCAGCACTGTTGTTTGGATTTGAGCCATTGTTTGAGTCCTCAGTTCAAAGTGTTGCTGGTGGTCTCTAGTTTTAAAGGGGGTAGGTAGAGAGTTCCTAAGTTTTGCCCCCTTTGCAGAGAAAGGAGACGGACCAAAAGAGGACTTTGAGAGCTCTGATGCCTCATGGTTCATTCAGAAAACAGTGGTTATTGGTCATTTACACATTTAAAAAAGAGTTTCAGATTATTTAAATTCAAAGAGAACTAATAATGATGGTACAGTGTTACCATTTCATTTAGCAGATGATTTTGTCCAAAGTGACATACATCTATTGGGAAATACACTTTTGCACTTGCTCTCAACATTATTTACTTCAAACAGCATTGATTTAAAAATCTCAGCAAAACCAATGTTTGGCACATTGTTTTTGCCTTTAAAGGGGGTCAGATTAAAGCAGACATTTGCCTTGTTTATGGACATTTTACCCCCTTCTCCAACATAAATTGTTAAGAGTAAAGGCGGTGACAGACTATTCCTTTTAACCTACTCTCCATCTCTCACAGATCAACTCTTCTGCTCAAAATCTGACCCTGTTCAGCTTGAAATGTATAAACAGAAGCAGATTATGTAAATTCATTAACAACACCTTCAATTTGCTGTAATCTTGTCTAACTGTTCATAGACCCATCAATGAAATGCATCAGTCTCTGTGTGTGATTTGTGTGTGTGATGCAGATGGGTAGAAACTCTTTAAAGTTGCCCTGTGGAGTTTTTCTGGTGAATAAACAAAAGTTGTTTACATTCACTTATACCCTCAAATATGCATTGTGTATATCCTGGAGGACAGACAAACATGTTGAACTAATCTCCTTCCTAATGAAACGTACAAATAAATACATAAATTAATGAAAAAAATGGCTACACCCACGTTTACTTGCTTGCAGTCTTCCTCTTCAACGTCTTTTTTGGTGCATTATCACAACCAGTCACCCATGGACATGCATCTTATGTGACACTTTCTGACTGTATCATTTCCTATGTTTTCCATGCAGGCTTGCTTCAATTATTTGCTCTTAGGTTATGCATTAATGTGCTGTGTCTGACCTTCTCAGTGTGGTTGAAGTATCTTTGTTTTTCACTTGAGCTGTGGATTTTCAGTATGTCTGTATTTATATTTCTGATGTTGTCTCCCTGTTCTGTTGCATCTCGATGACTGCTGCAGATCCTTTCTACTAATAATAAAGTTGTAGTTTAGTATATGATCATGTATGACTATGACGATGAAATATGATTGATGTCTTGTTGCAATCTGTTTTTTTGTATCTTTGGAATATCCTCTTGAGCTTTAATAACGTTTTGTGTGTGAGGAAAATATGGCTGCACAGTGTGAGTCTGTTCTCTTTGTGAGAGATCTTCTAAATCGTCAATATTCAAAAGCTTCAGAAATCATACGCCACAAAGTCCCTCAGATTGATATCACTTCAATGTCATGCATCTTTTATCCCACACCGGCTCTTTGCAAGTTGTCCCTCAAACTCCAATTCCATCCACACTCTGCTTCTTTAAGACTGACTGCACATAATTCACCCTGTGTGACTGAGGTGATGTATTCTTTTCATGTACAGAGGAAGCGCAATATCCTGTTCCCGCACGGCCTCTAAAACCACACTGAGGCCAGACTGGCCCCCGGCCTCTCAGGGGCCTGAGTGCTCCTGAAACTAAAGCCAGTGGACTGAGTCTGAAGCTGTGATATATGAGGTGTGTGTGTCTGTCTGTGCCTCAGACTTCAGCCTGTTACATGTCAGTAAAAGCTGGGACTAATGGGGTCCCTCCTCTGAGAGCACTGGGAGGAATGGTTCTCATTTTAGTGGCAAATGTGCTCCCTGAGGCTCCTACGCTTTTATTGAAAAAGAGTATCCTCTTGTTAAGTTATTATTGTGAAACCCAATATTTTAAGTTTCTGTTTTCCAGGGGAATACATATTTTCTCTCATGAGTTCCTGGTATACCATAAAACCTAACTAGTTATGGTGCCTATGTGAATATTAATTTTTGGCATGGCAACTGAGGAGACGAGTGAGTGTCATGCTTCTTTCTCACTTCATGTTATTTATTTTTTTTAGCTTTATCTCAAGCGGCAACACATGCAAGAGTCGAGTGCAAAAAACTTGAGGGACAACACGAGGCTGGCTGCAAACGCTCCAACACACTCAAAGAAATCCAGAAATAAATATGTTTACAGTCTGGTTCAAAAAAACAAAACTAAACATCGCAAATTTCTTTATCGGCACACCGCTCACCACTTGTCTGTTTTGATTTTATGAAGGATAAGAGTTAGTCATGATTATGGGAGTGGCTGGTCTGATGTATAGGCGAGTGTGTTGTAGCTGCTTGTCATGAGGCTTAAGTCCTGCCTGTTATAGGTTGTGTTGACCGAAGACAGCATTTCCAATACGCCGAACTTCACCAATGGGCTTAAAGTCCGCTCCTGATGTTTGACGTCACTGACACTGTGTCCATGTTTATACTGTATACGGTTATGCTTTATCTTTTTTTAGACCTTTAAGGAAACACACATATACTCTCCCAAACACACACACCCATTCACAAATATCCAGTCATTTTATTCTTGAGACATTTATGAACTTTTATTTGATACTCTGATTATTGGAATACTTTCTCTTGACTCTTGACTTGACTACTTTGTTTGAAGGCTGGTATTATTTAAGGTTTCTTGTAATATCTCCTCCCTGTCTGTCTCCGCCTTGGTCCTGTGTGTTTGTATTCATACAGCGTCAAAAAGGGAAGTAGACTAAATAAAAATTCATACTTAGTCATTAAACAGAAGCTGCATGCAGTGACACCTCAGTCCACATGCTTCCTCTGATGTTAGTGTGTGTTTCTATGTTCTGTGCATGCAGGAAGTATTTTACAATTTCTCCTGACTCTCCTAATTAACACATTTCATTGGTTTGGGGCCAGATTTGATCTTTTTTTTTCTTTCATGGAAAAAATGATGCAAATAGGTTGCATTTGATCTAATCAAACAATAAAACAGGCAAAAATAAACATTATACACAATCAAATCTTAATATGCTTTATTGTGAATGAAACAGCACCTGCAGTCAGGTTTCTGCTGGACAGCAGCAACACACAAACACACTCACATGCACAGACTGGTGCACAAACAGTGGGAGGTCTACCTGTGTGACCAAGCCGCAGCAGCAGCAGTCTGGTGAGCCCTCCTCCTCACTGCCACCGTCACTGGTTTCCCTGGAAGCCGAGAGAAACCAGTCGGACGCTCTGTTCGCCTCCGGTTCACTCGCTGCGGGACTCAGACGCACAGTGGAGGAATGCGCTTCAAAACGCGGAGTTTGCTCGAATCTTCAGAGGGTACAAGTGTCTTTTAACAAGTGCATTTTCCCCCTGGTATGATAGCTCTCTCCTAGAGACCATACAGGCGTTAGAAATGTCTCACCAGCAGCAGGTTGTCCAGCTCGCTGCCGCCTCACTCGCCGTAGTCCTTGGTCCGGACGAAGAGAGTTTGCGCGCCGGCGGAGGGAAACTTAACGCCAATACTACCACAAGCGGTCAGGAGATTTTTGCGGACTTTAAAGCGCAAAACGTGCGCAGTTTCTGGAATAAGAGACTCGTCAAGGCCATAGCTGAAGTGTACTTTCAGGGATGGATGGAAAATTTTGTGCTTTTCATTCACGGCAACGCAAACAACCTGGAGGTGCTGAGAGAAGCGTGGATGCGCAGAGCTCTGAGGTCACCAAAGGGATTTATCATCAAAGCTGTCGGTATGTAGCATCAGTCTTGTCAATGCACTGACAGAAATGATTTTATAAAGTATTGTTATGAATCAATCAGATCTTGTAAAACAACTTTCCTGAGCTGCTGAAGTGCAGATAGGTATCAAAACTCCTGTGACAGAAAAGAAGGCTGCAATGCAAATGAACAAGAGCAGCATGTCATTGCTGATGGCACAGGAAATAAAATACTGTAGTGAGCTGCACTCTCACACAACATGTAAGTGTATTTAGGAGGAGGGGGGGGGGGGGGCACTGTAGAGTCACACGATCAGTAACACTGTTTTACACACTGACACAAATGTGTGAAAGTCATAAACCTTGATCAGGGACCAGGTTTTCTAACCCTCAATCTTCACCATGTCAGACTTCTTTTTTGCTTTTACCCAAAAGGTGGAGTATTTTTTAGTTTCAACACTATTTTATCAACAGATTTGGACTCTTAAAAAGTATGTTTCTATCAGTCACTTGTTTCCTGGATGCTGCAAAATGATGAAACTTATAAAGAAATATCAAAACAAAAAAGGACGCATCTGTTTAAATTCCTGAAACAACATGACTTTTCTCCCTTTTTTAAAATACACAACTCCTTTAATAAAGAGAGGCATTATTTGAACAAATCTTTTTACACATAGGCATACGCTGAGAGTGTGTAAATGTTATTTAAGCATAGTGTGGCGTTGAGAGAGTCTGCAAGCTTTCTGTCTTGCACCTCTACAACAACCCTTCTCCAACTAAATAGAAACCACAAATTGTTGCCATGCTTGAGTAGCAATAGCAATTTCTCCAGCTTACCAAAACACAGACACATTTCAGCAACACATGTGTTGCACACAGCATCAGTTTAATTGGTATTGCTGATATTCCTTTACCTCCCCCTATCATTGTCTGGTGCGTTTAATTGGATTTCAGGACCAGTCGGCCTGCCTTTGTTGTCAATGCTGTGATATGTTTACCAAAGCTCGTTAACAAAGCTCTGTATACCATGTAATTACTTCTAATTGCTCTTCTCCAACACAGATGTGTTTTAAAGCAACTGCTTGAAGATACAATGAATGGGAACCTTTATGTCTCCTCCTATAGCATGATCTCATGGGCTGTAAATGCATGACAGGCCCACTGCTGGAGTAAATGACAACCATGCAGAGGTTTCAGACTTTGTGACGGTGATATCTAGAAGCAGATTATTCACATGTTTTGGTAGAAAGATGCTTTATTTTAGATTCTTGTAAATGCAGAAACTGAGGAGTTTACGTAATGGTCACCATCTCCAACATAGAAATTATACCACAGGATGCAAAATAGTCAGAAGCTGTTATCCCAATGTTTGGATGTTAGTTCAGCTGTAGCATGTTCATTTTGGTTGTTGAAACAGTGACCCAGCAGCACACACATTGGCTCTCAATTTGCCACTCGGTCCAGCTGCCTTGCCCGGGTTTCTAAGTCCAACTTTCCAATAATTTGTTTCTCTTTGTTTGAGGGTTATTTAGTCTGGATTGCACTCCTGCCTCTGTTGACATTGTATCGGTATGTCAGCTCTCTCAGATTGAGCGGTGCACAGACAAGTGAAGGGAGGAATGTGATGTGAAGGAAGGGAAGAAGAGACCACACAAGGGGAGATGTGGGAGGGCGTGGAGCGTCTGCGGGATGGGGTGAGGGGTGGGGGGGATGCTAACATGCCAACCTGCTGTGAGACAGTTTCTGACCCGGAGATTCAACCAAGCAAACAAACTGTATGCTAGCCAAAGGTGGAGTTGAGCTTTGACTATCCACTGCATCAGCGTAAAGTTGAACGTGCATGAAGAAACAGTTGGATAGAGGCGTCAAGGTCACACTTTAACAATAGGCCTACTTAAGAAGAAAAACAGATACTTTTGTAAAAATTGTAAAAACACAAACATGTTATTATAAAAATTTAACACAAAAGTGTCCAATTTAAGTCCAAAAATACAAACTATAATTAAAAAAAAAAGTTCAAATCATCTGAGTAAAATGTCCACTCTTTGTTTCTGTGCAGAGATAACTGAAGTGAATTGGGAGATTTTTTTAGTCTTTTCTCATTCTATCTTAAAATCAATTCAAAACACTGAAAAAAGTGATTACATGCAAGTTTCTCTTTCTAATGAATTTCATTTTGATATATTTTTGTTTCATAATGTTTTATCTGTTGTGTGTGATATGTGGTAAAAAATACACAGGGGTTTCAGGGGATGGACAGCAGTGGCCAGAGTCACCTTTGAAAACTGTTTTAGCACATTTCTTTAAATGTTACTTAGTATTAACATTTTCCTTTTGAGCCTTTAAGAATTGAGCTCTAAAGATTTCATAATGTTTTATCTGTTGTGTGTGATATGTGGTAAAAAATACACAGGGGTTTCAGGGGATGGACAGGAGTGGCCAGAGTCACCTTTGAAAACTGTTTTAGCACATTTCTTTAAATGTTTACTTAGTATTAACATTTTCCTTTTGAGCCCTTTAAGAATTGAGCTCTAAAGATTTACATGTTATCACTCTGTTACTGTAATGTAAGTGGGTAAAGTAGAACTGACTAGTGGAGATATAAACAGTAAATAAATGCTATGCATTCTTATGTGTGAACACACATGTAATACCAACTAGGGCTGGGCGATATGGACCAAAACTCATATCTCGATATTGTTTAGCTGAATGGCGATACTCGATATATATCGATATGTATTTTATTAACAGTGAAAACATATGGAAAATAAACTACCTATTTGTGAATTTAAAAAGTAACATTATAAAATAAAAATGTTCCTTAAATACAATAAAGAGAGAGAGGAGGAGCAGGGTTAAGAGGGACAGACAGTCAGTCATCATCAGTGAGATGAGGTAAAGGTGACCTGGCACCTCTGTAATGTTATTTTAATGCAACATAAACTATATCCATATTAACGATATTGTCTAACCCTATATCTTGTTTGAAAATATATCGATATATCTTAAAAACTCGATATATTTCCCAGCCCTAATACCAACCCTGCATAAGTCATTGCTGCAGTTGGGCCACGCCAGGGAAAACAGCTGCACGCTGCCCCTGAACACACACCTATCATCTTTTTTCTTCTAACTCTTCTCAGGAAATCCTGTTCTTCACTACTTTTAACCTCTGCAGTTGAATGCAAGGCAGGAATCTATCAGTCATTGTGTTTGAGCTTCACACCGGAAACTTGTCAGCAAACATGTTTGTGTGTGGACTTGTCACCTGCTTCTCCTCCTTCACACACCCTCCACCTCACACCACAGCAATTTGTATGGAAATCAGCGCTGGCAGCCTTTCAGAAACTGCTTTACTGCCTTCTCACTGAGAATTGGTCAGCAGTGAATCACTGAGTGACTGCCTGCCGACCACCGCCACTTTTCTCTTACCCAGGATTAATGTCCCTCTACTTTCATGGCCAGCGAGGGAGTGTGGAAGTCAGACCCCTGGATTGATATCCGGCACGGACTTAGAGGCCTTGACATCGTCCTGATATAAATATGTCAGCTAGAAAACAGAAATGTTATGAGTTATGGGCTACAGTGAATTTTGAACAACCCTATTTCCTTTCTCCAGGTCAGAGCAAGGCTGAGACGTGACTTTACTAGCAAGAGGGCTTTGTTTGATGGAAAGTTAAGGAACAGGTTTAAAAGATCAGCTTAAAGCTTCCAGATGTGGTTTAAATTAGTGTTGTAAATTGGAGATAAAGATTGTAAACTTAAAGACCCTTAGTTGAATACACTAGTTCCTGTTTGATTTGACTGATTATCAGAGCCTGAGTGAAGACAGACTGTTCTGTCAGTCACCTCTGAGCGTCCTCTGTAGAAAAAGGAGGTGTTGGGGAGATGAGGAAGATTAATAGAGGATTGGGATGGTGCTGAGGTTAGGCAGAACTTGACAGACAGGGTGAAGAGTTAGTATGAACAGAATGTGTTGTTATCCTTGTGGGAATGGGCCCTGCTGGTACTGAGGTTGACCTTTCCACTTCAACTTGTGAATGTCTGCAGGGTGTTTCTCAATCTCTGAAATTATCTCTTCATCCCTCCTCTTCCTTAGTTGTTGTTTTCGAAGTCACGCCGAAGTTTAACTGCAAAATAGTTTAATTCATGATAAGTACAAGTAGAAAGGAAATCCCTATTGGTGAGAACAGAAATATTTAGCATGTCTGCATTTATACTGTACCCTGACTAGTCCTGATAATCAGACGCAGATATGGTTTTGAGCAGTGGTTCTCAACTGGTGCTGTTTAAAGTTGGTCTCGAAGGTGTCAAAAACTACATGAAACGATTTTTAAACATGTTTTTTCCAATTTCTTTCTTATTTCACATAATGTTCCCTCTGAGGTCCCAACTGCAAATTTTTCATGAAATAAATCTAACTGGTAGAAAATATTTGATTTACAAAGTTTCATGAAGGAGTTCCAGATATGTTATTTTGTAAAGTTTAAAGTTCTTATAATGTGTCAAATTTTGCAGGCGCCAGGGAAGCTAAGTTAGTTGTCTGTTGTCTTTAGTTCCACAGTTGTCATCTAGCTTGAAATTTAGTTGGTGCATTTCCAAATAGCCTAGTTCGACAGTCTGAATAAATTCTTTCTGACAGTATCAAGGCTAACCAGGCACTCTTGTTGAAACCAGAGGCTTCATAACGACTGTTAGCAGGTCCTGCATTATTTAGAGTCTGACTATTGTCCCTCCAGCAAGATGAGCATGAAACATTTATATGGAGTCAGCCAGTGGTGTAATGAGGTGTCCTGTATCCTCCCTACAATCAACCTCTGTAAACTGTCCTCTTGAACATGGATATGAATGAGTCCTCTGGACAGACCTCTCACTTTCTCCTTGAAAAACACTTTTTGACCATTGTAGGACCTGGTAGGTCTGGATCGCTAGAGCAAAGCTATGCTGTACTATTTAAGCCAAGTTTTCTTTTTCAATGGTATGTTTCATTTAACTCGCCATACCATCTACGTGAGGCATTCCTGAAATGCTTC